TATCATATCATAAACACATCCAGATAAAAGAAATGGTAAAATGGGCCCTACTTTTTAAAAAATATACTTTTTATTGATTTCAGAGAGGAAGGGATGGGGGGGGGGGAGATAGAAACATCAATGATGAGAATCATTGATTGGCTGCCTCCTTCATGCCCCCTACTGGAGATCAAGCCCCCGCAACCTGGGCATGTGCCCTTGAAATCCAGAGCTACACAATCACATTACAAAAGGACTTCATGTGGGGGAGAGCGGAGAATTGTGGCCATTTTTTAAACCAGTCTTCCACAACCAGACAGAGAAACCACATGAAACAATCCAACCACATTATCTTAAAGTCAAAGATTTAAGTCACGGCTTTGAATTTCCATCTGAATTCAGGATGATTATAAATACTGGTAAATCTTAGAGAAAAGTTTGTGATAGTGGCTTTTGTTTTATTTTTTTGCTGTGTTTTTAAGAAAGGGAGGTACTTCCATGCAAAACCTAATGTTTACTCAGCAGGGTGGGTAAGAACTTGTGTACACCAAAGCTTTGCAACTCCACCTGACAGTCTCAAGAGCATGGGTTCTGTACCACATGTTCTATGGGGACAGGAACTATTTGTCCTATTCACCAGGGATCCCGAGCCCCATCAGACACACAGTGGGCACTCAGTGAGGTTTGTTGGAAGAGGGAGTAGATGAATGCAGTGCTTGGAATGGTGGTGGCACAGAGAACGAGGCAGGGAACGAGGCAGGGACACATAGGGAGTGTGCAGGAGGGCAGCCTGACCGAGCCTGGGACCTGCATTTGAATCTAGGACACCTAAGAACGGTCCAGCCATCAGAGGTGGCTCTCGCCTGGGGGTTGTGAACAGGACATCATGGGGTGGAAGGGTTTCCCGAAATGATAACTGAGCTTTTTTTTTTTTTTTTTTTTTTAGCATAAAACATACATGCATTTTACATTCATCAGAGGTGTTTGCTCGTTAGCCACTGCTTCTTTTTTGACTGAGGACACAAGTAAAGTGAATGGGCTTAAACGTTAGGAGCAGATTAGAAAGGATTTTAAATGTTTATAACTCTGCAAGTCCTCAAATAAGCACCATGGAGTCTTATTTGTGAGCCTGACAAGCTCAGGAAGCGGGGAAGGGTGGTACATGGCAGGCCTAACAAGCACAGGGACCAAAAGTAACCACCCACACAGGATGTTCTGATCATAAATCCCTAACTGGGCAGGTCACGGCGGGTAGCCACCTCCCAGGCCTACAGCTTCCTTAGCAAAGGTCAGTCTTGCCCTTCAGTGAGCCCTGGACATATTTCTTAGGCATCGAGGATAACACACCTGTGAAATGACAGAGTGGTTTTCTCCTCTGGACCCCTCAGGGCACAGGAGCAGGCACCAGAGCACAGAGCCCCTCACTGTTATCTTGTTCCCCACATTCCATCTCTATGTGCAGTGAATGCTAATTATTAACTAGGGATGCGCTTCTCATTTCACTTTTTATCCAATTCTAGAGACTTCCCTGCTTTGCTTTCTCCGGCCTCCTTAATCTGCCACCGATGGGTTCCACGTAATCCTCTCTAAGCCTCCTCGTCCGGTTCTAAAGTGTAAAATCAGCTGCAAAACTGCTATTCTCTGGGCCATCTTCTCAGCCTGTTGAGATCTTGCTTCCGGGCATGTCCTCAAAATTATGGCTCCGATAGCCCCTTGTGAAAGTTTTTCAATGGGTTTGGATATTCTTTTGCTGACATTTGAAATAAGCCAAATGCCCAGGAGTCCGGTGTCAGAGCCGGGGAACGTGCTACAGGACGCCTCAGCATTGCTCCCAGACCTTGGTTCCAGGGCCTTTTACCCTCTGAGCTTTCCAAGGTGCAAAGTGAAGTGGGAAAAACTAAGATCTGTTTCTGCCCACAGAACCCTTCTGACACCAAAAATGTGCATCTGAGGGGGAAGGTTGGGGTCTCACACACTAACAACCAATTCTCCAAGTCTCCAGTAGCCGGGTGTCCTATTACAACGGAATTGAATTCTAACGTTCACCACCTAGAGTTAGTGCCAACCCCACAGGTTAAGCGCTCAGTCCCACAAAACTGCCCTCCCCCCCTCCCCAACTTCAGACATCAACCGCAAATCCAGGGTCTCCCATATTGCTGACTGACTGCCATTAAATTGTGGGCTCTCCCCCACCATGTTTGCCAGCATGGCTCCCAGAACAATGGCCGGCTTATTAGAGAGGGTGCACAGGAAGAGGTGCCCAGGGAGAGAGGTCTGGAAGGATCCAGAGCACAGGAGCTCCTGTCCCTGTGAAGCCAGGGTGAGTCACCCTCCTGGCACATGGATGCATTCACCAGCCTGGAGCGCTCCCAGCCCTGTGGTTTCTGGGTTTCCATGGAAGTTCCATTACACGGGCATTGGGAGCAAACTCAGTCTCCGGCTCTCCCTACTTCCTCTTCCCTCCTCCCCGGAGATGAGGGAATGGGGCTGATCTGTCCAACTCTCTCATCCCGTGGTTGGTTCCTCTGACAACCAGCTCCCCACCATCCTGAAGCCATCGAGGGGCCCACCAGGCCACCTCGTTACCATAAACGCCACTATGGTGAAGAAGCTTGTCATGAATAACGAAAGTTGTGCGTATCAGCCTTATCCCTCAGGAAGTCCCAAGGGTTGTAGGGGCCCCTAATGCCAGGAACCGGGGGCAAAGACACTTCTATGCTTCTGATATCCCAATATCACAGGGAGGGTTTCTGGTATAATAGTTAAGTATGTCTTTCTGTAGAACTTGACTTTGTACAGACCACGGAGAATGGGGAAAGCCCTGCAGGCTGCTCTCTTCTGAGGACACAATGTCCTGAGCCTTCCTGAGCCACTGGCCTTACTTTCTGGGCCTCCTGGCTGTGGAGCCTCCGTTCATGCCTACTCAGGGGATTCAGAGGACTTCACAATGTAGTCTTTTTTTTTTTTAATATATTTTTTATTATATTAAATAATATATTTAAGAGAGGAAGGGAGAGAGATAGAGAGCTAGAAACGTCGAGAGAGAAATATAGACCCGCTGCCTCCTGCACACCCCCTACCGGGGATGTGCCCGCAACCAAGGTACATGCCCTTGACCGGAATCGAACCCAGGACCTTTCAGTCCGCAGACCAACGCTCTACCATTGAGCCAAACCGGTTTTGGCCACAGCATAGTCTTTAAAGAGCAAATCAGCCAAAACAGGTTTGGCTCAGTGGATAGAGCGTCAGCCTGGGGACTGAAGGGTCCCAGGTTTGATTCCAGTCAAGGGCATGTACCTTGGTTGCAGGCACATCCCCAGTAGCGGGTGTGCAGGAGGCAGCTGATCAATGTTTTTAACTCTATCCCGCTCCCTTCCTTTCTGTAAAAAAAATCAATAAAATATATATTTTTAAAAAGAACAAATCAAAAGGCACATTTTAACTTAATTATAATCTATACATTATAAGAGGATGATCAAAACTTAGCCGAAATTGGTTTGGCTCAGTGGATATCATCACAGAGTAGTTTTGTCTATTTTTGAACTTTGCGTAAATAGAATCACCCTGAGTGTGTTCTTTTGTGCCTGACTTCTTCTGTTCAACATTGCGGCTGAGAGAGTCATCGGTGCCCTTATCGGGCATGGTGGTTGGTCTATGTTCATTGTGTGAATAAAGGGTTGGGCAAAAGTAGGTGTACAGTGGGGAGTACGCAAAACAGAGTTTTGTATTCTTGTATTAGTTTCCATACAAACAACTGCAAACCTACTTTTGGCCCACCCCTCTACAACGGTGTATGTGTCAGTTCTGCAGCTGGTGAACAATTGAATTGTTCCTAGGTTTTGGTTATTATGCACATTCTGGTGCCTGTCTTTCAGTGCCCATGTGCACACAATGCTGTTGAGTGTATATTCAGTAGTGGAATTGCCATGCCACAGAGCACACGTATGTTCAATTTCAGCAGCCCCATTTTCCGTAACAGTTGTTCCAATTCTCACTCCCATCCACGGTGCTGCACATCCTTGCCAGCCTGCTGAATTTTGGCCATTCTGGTGCTATGTAATGGTATCTCATTATGGCTGTGATTAGCATTTCTCTTTTACAATTGGGGTTGAGCGTCTTTACACGTTTAATGACTGTTTAGATTTTTTTGTGCCAATTCAAGTATCTTGCCAACTTTGTGAATGTTTCTCTGACCATTTATTATACATTTGTAGGAACTCTTTATACATTCTGGATACAAACCTTTGAGGATTATAGGTATTGCAAATATCTTCAACTCTGTGGCTTGCCCTTTGACTCCCTTCCTGGTGGCTTTGATGAGCAAGGAGTTCATAATGTTAATGTAATCCTATTATCCATTTTTGGGCCAATACCACAGTCCTAAAAAGTATTCCAGTTTTATAGTAAGCCTGGACATCTTGTAGTGTACCTGCTCCAGCTTTTCTCTTCTTTTTCAAGAATACCTTGTCTACTCTTGGCCTTTTACATTTCCATAAATTTTAGTATCAGCTTGTCACTGTCTCAGATTTATTAGGATTATATTAAATCTAGACAGATCAATTTGGACAGACTTGATAATACTTTGAGCCTACCATTACATGAACATGGTCTATCCCCTCATTTATCTAGGTCTTCTTTAATTTTGCTCAGCAATATTTTGTGCCATTAGAAATATTGCACATCTTTTGTTAGATTTTTCCCTAGGTGTTAGATTTTTTTTTTTTTTTTAACTCTGGCAAGTGGCACCTTTTTACATTTTTGTTTTCTGTTTATTGATGGTATATAAAAACTGATATTTTATATGGACTATAGACCCAGTGTTCTTGATAAAGGCACAGACTAATTATAACAGCTTTTATATGTAGATTCTTTGGGTTAATCTGTCATACACAGTCATATCCTCTGTGAATGACAGTTTTATTTCATCTGTTTCAGTCTCTACCCTTTTGATTTCCCTTTCTCATGTTCTACACGGACTCTGTGACCTTGGACCTAACAGTTTTCCCTCCCTTTCCTTCCAGATGAGGCTGAGGCACATATTGACTATGAAGATAATTTCCCTGATGACAGGTCTGTGTCATTCCGAGAGCTCATGGAGGACTCCCGGACAGAGGCCAAGGAGGACAGGGGTCAAGGAGAAACCCCTGAGGAGGCCCCAAAACAGGACCGTCTGGTCATTTCTTCGGGGAGAGACAACATAGCCCAGGACACAGCCTTTGTGCCAACGACAGGCTTGCCCAGCGCTGGGAGCAGCGTTCCCACAGACCTGCCAGGATCGGTCCTGAAAGGGAAGTACCTGTTCTGGCTTCCTGCTGAGACCTTCCACAAGCTGGAGAAGGAGATGGATGATGACACCAAGAAGCAGCTTCCTGCTGGAGATAACCACAGTGGCATAACGTTGGCCCCAGGTGAACCTGAAACCAAGGTGACCTATAGCAGCACTGGTGGAGCCTCGGGGCCGTATGTGGGCAGGAATGATAGCAAGGAAGAGGACCCGATGGTGAGCAGCAGCGACGAGTCCTGGTTAGACGGCTACCCTGTGACCGATGGGGCTTGGAGGAAGACGGAGGCCGAAGAGGAGGAAGTGGAAGAAGATGGGGATAAGGGGGATGGGTCGGTAGGGCTGGAAGAAGGTGCTCTATTTACTTCGCATCAGCCCGTTCTTGTGGAGGTTGGTAAGCCCCGGGGTACCACCCTCACCCCGAATGAGGACACAACCTACCGTTCAGCTCTTCCATCTCAAACGCTAGATGCAGACGCTTCTGCTCTCAGACCCACGAGTGTGTCTGAGACCGAGGGTCCCAGCGAGGGAGAGGGTGGCTTGGCCAGGGACCAGTCGACTGTCCCTTGGAGGTTTGCCACAGAGACGTCTCCTGCGGCCACCTTACCCTACGAACTCACCAGCTCTACCCTGGTGACAGCAACAACAACTGCTGCCCCAAAGACGCCCAACCACATCCCCTCGACTACCCTGGCAGCCACCCAGGTTCCCATGGAAACCACGGCTCCCGAGGTCCAGGATAACTTCCCATACCTGCTGTCAGAGGACTTCTTGGGCCAGGAAGGCCCTGGTCCAGGCGCAACGGAGGTGGAGCTTCTTCCCACCGTGGAGCCGTGCGTAGGAGACGAGTGTCCCAGCTTCAGCAGAGGACCCATCATCGCCACGATCGTCACCGTCCTGTGCCTGCTGCTGCTCCTGGCAGGCGTGGCGGCCGTGTGGGGCTACCGCAGGTGCCAGCACAAGAGCTCCGTGTACAAGCTGAACGTCGGCCAGCGGCAGGCTCGGCACTACCACCAGCAGATTGAGATGGAGAAGGTCTAGCCACCTTCGGTGCGGGCTCTCTCAAGGCCACTTGGTAGGAAAAAAAACCGTGACACATCACATTGGTAAACACTGATCGTGCCCTAGAGCATGGAGCAGGTGGACTAGGGCTTGCCTTTTGCTCTCAGGTCTTTGTTTTCTAGGCTGAGAAGTATCTTGGAGGTACCTGGCCAGGACAGCTTTGATGGTGTCATCACACACACACACACACACACACACACACACACACACACACGTCGGTATCTCCTCAGCCATCTGCCCTGGAATGAATCACACTCATCCCCAGACCTGGGCCGGGGCCCCCATTCCACCACGAGATCAAAACTCACCTCTTGCTTCATCATACTATTGCCTTCTTTCCAAGAAATAAAATGACTGCCTCCGTGACCTGAAATGTTTGCAATAGGCATAATAAACGGAGCATTTGAGAGCAGTGTCATTTAGGATACAGATATTTAAGGGTTGGGAATGGGGTCTAGAAGAATAATGGATTATTTCCTTTTTTAAAAAAATACATTTTTATTGATTTTGTACAGAGAGAAGGGAGAGAGATAGAGAGTTAGAAACATCGATGAGAGAGAGTCATCGATCAGCTGCCTCTTGCACACCCCCTCCTGGGGATATGCCCGCAACCAAGGTACATGCTCTTGACCGGAATCGAACCCGGGACTTTTCAGTCCCCAAGCTGATGCTCTATCCATTGAGCCAAACCGGTTTCTGCGGATTATTTCCTTTTAATGTGATGTTGCTGAGGGCAAATGAGCTAAGAACCAGGACATAGTCTGGAAGCTTTGAGACTCTTGTTTGTTGAAATTGGAGAGAATTGAGACGGATATTTTGTTGGAGATGGGAAAAGGGAAGGTGAGGAGTAGCCGGACACACATCCATGTCTATTCCCTCCATTTATGGGACAGCCCATCGTGCTTTTAAAAAATAAGGTCAGCTTTGTACCGGTAAGCACCATTTCCTCTCGGAAACGGCATAGTTGTCCTTGACCGGTCTGTGCCTAGGAATGTCTTAGAATTTTTGCCAGGACTAACAGAGCTCAGTCCCTGGTTTCCTCTCTCCACATTAGCCATTTCTGTGAACTCCAGTAAAAGGGAACGGCATGGGAGGGGAGACAAGTTTTAAGAGGGCTCAGGACTAGGATATCAGGTGTGGATACCTAACTTGATGGAGAAACGCAGGAACTGAAAATGTGAAATGGCCTGTGCCCATCCGTTCTTCCCTCTGCTGTTGACAATTATGAGCTCCATGGAAACAGCATGAGCCCAGGATGGATTCATCCGGCTGCAGAGCCGCCCGTTTCATAGCATCTAGGTCATCTTAGGGTGGCTCAGCAAGAACTGCGTGTGACAGTGGTTCTTCGAGCATGGTCCTCGGACCAAAGGCATCAACTTCTCCTGGAATCATGCTGGGGCTGCAAATTCTCTGGTGCCAGCCCAGACCCATGCAGTGGAAACCCTGTGCATGGGACGGACTCTATGTTTTCACTAGCTGTCCGGCGATTTAAGTGCAACTCAAGTGTGAGAACCATTTGGTCTGGGATGAGCTTTGAGGTGCGCTGAAGCCTGGAGGCCAGAAGATGAGTAACACCTGTGATTTGTCTTGCAACGTGTGACCGAGGCAGCGTTCGAAGCTCCTGCAACACCATCTCCAGTGGTGGTTTCCTGGTATTGGCGCAGAAACAAAACACGTCACTCCTTTCTAATCTGAATCGCCTTCTTAGAATTCGTTCTCACGGGTAGAAAGGGATGAAGGCATACCTGTATTTTGAGACTCTAAGAGCCCACGTGTTTTTGTGCGTCGTAAGAGGGATCCTGAACTGCTTCACAAGTGAAAAGTCGGTGGTGGTGTTTTACTCGAGGAGAAAAAAATTCTTGCAACGTGTTTTCTACCCTGCCACCTCTTTTCGGCAGGAGCTTTGGAAAAACGATAGTTTAGGTGGCTATAAAGGCAGCACGGCAAAACGAAAGACCTTCGTCTCCCTATCGGGCAAAACCAAGACCTGAAGGCACCAAATGGAACACCTGCCTGTGTGTCCAATGACATCCAGAACAATAGGAATGGAATGCCTTCTGCATGTAGCCAAAGCAAAACACCACAGAATAGAAGCCAGAGACTGTACATATTTATAAATTAGATCCTTTTCTAATCTATTACTAGATAGCTCTTCTATTTTTAACGATGTAAAATAGCCTCCATCTCAGCATGGGGATTGTGTTATCCAACCATACATAATAATCCAAGAACATTCACCTAACACTAACCCCAAAATGGGTCATGTAAATACAGGTGTATTAATACGTTCATGACAAACATATTAATACACGTAAATGTGTTATTTTCTAGACACGAACTGCAGAATAAGCCCAACACCTAAATGTTTAAGTTGTTGATTTGGTGTCATCTAAATTTAATGATTTGGTGTCATCTAAATTTAACGTTAGGGGATCTAAAAAGCATGTAGAAAGGGAATGATTAAAACGCTGTCATTATTGCATGTTTTGAGGCTAGTCAATGTCTTAATGTTCATGAAAATGGGGGGAGGGGTTCTATTAACACAAAGCTTCCGCGATATTTAAAATAAATAAATATTTCCCTAACTAGTTGTTTAATGTATTTTATATCTGGGTTCTATTCCCAATGGCTTAAAAAAATTAGCTTGAAAATAAGGTCTTAATACTCGCTGTGTCTAAGCTACCGCTCTAAGCCTATAGCAGGATTTCAGGGGTCTGCAGAGCTCCTTCCCCCTCCTCCCATCCTCCTCTTCCTCACCCAACCAGCGATTACTCACCTCTCTCACAGGCTTTGCTTCAGGGCATCCAGACCTAAGACATCTGCCAACACGCAAACTTTTTTTTTTTTTTTTTTAAACGCGCAAACTCTTATTCCCCTGTCGCCACTCCTCAATTTAAACTTTCCCAGTGTCCTCTACAGTTCTCGGGCTGACGTCAATAAAATCTGTGTTTGCCACTGCATCTCCTAGAAGCCGGTGTTGGAACACTCGCTGCCATGGGTCTGCTTTTGCACTGGCTGGCTCCTCACTCTTTCTACCTGCCTCCTTCTACTCCCTCCTTTCTCCCTGCCTGGCCGTGGGTGACAGGCATGGACTATGGTGGCTGCTGGAAGTCAGGCCTAAAGGTGTTTTCAGTCCTTTGTGTTGCAATAGTGACTGTTCTGCCACTTCTCAGACCTTGCGAGGGAGGGACCGACTCATCAGATCCAAAGCAAGGCCTGGATTCAAAATGGTTTTCCTGCCCTAGCCAGTTTGGCTCAGTGGATAGAGTGTCGGCCTGCAGACCAAAGGGTCCTGGGTTTGATTCTAGTCAAGGGCATGTACCTCGGTTGCAGGCTTGTCTCCGGCCTGGGCTGAAGGCAACCAATCATCATGTTTCTCTCACATCGATATTTTTCTCTCTTTCCCTCTCTCAAAAAAAATCAATAAGAGTAAAAAAAAGAAGTTTTTCCGAATGTGACCCCAGGTCTCTGAAAGAGAATCTTCCTTGGGAGAAGGAACCTCTAGCTCCTGAAGACCTGGGCCTGTTCATGGCTAATCAGGACCACTTGCTGCTGAGATCTGGAAGGCTCTGCTTTGCTACGTCAATGTCAGAAACCTCACGGGCCTGGGAAAACAAGAGCTCCTTAGAACAGGCAGCCCAGAATGACCGCGTGTGGTTACACAGCCTCATCCAGCGGACAGAGAATGAAAACTGTAAAGAATACGCAAAATAAGACATGCAGTGTGATTTTTAAAAATCATCACTGTTTTTAATAATCTTCTAGGCTCTAAATTTCCCACAAGAGCGAGACTAAACGGCCCTTCCCAAGGGAGGAGGGATGGAGAGACATCAGCAACCTTTAGTTTGGCCTACCGACCGCCACCCTGAAGCGGGCAGGAGAGCTCTGTGGTTGCTCCGGGACCTGTTTGCCACATTTTTCTTTCTTTCTTTTTTTTTTTTTCAGAGAAAGGGAGAGGAAGAGATAGAAACATCAATGAAGGGAGAGAATCATTAATTAGCTGCCTCTGGCATGCCCCACATTGGGGATCGAGCCTGCAATCCTGGCATGTGCCCTGACTGGGAATCAAACCATGACTTCCTGGCTCATAGGTCGATGCTCAACCACTGAGCCAAGCCAGTGAGGCCTCATTTCTTTTTTTCTTTTTAAAAAATATATTTTATTGATTTTTTTACAGAGAGGAAGGGAAAGGGATAGAGTTAGAAACATTGATGAGAGCCGGGACCGGTTTGGCTCAATGGATAGAGCGTCGGCTTGGGGACTGAAAGGTCCCGGGTTCGATTCCGGTCAAGGGCATGTACCCTGGTTGCGGGCATATCCCCAGTGGGGGGTGTGCAAGAGGCAGCTGATTGATGACTCTCTCTCATTGATGTTTCTGACTCTCTATCTCTCTCCCTTCCTCTCTGTACAAAATCAATAAAATACCTTTAAAAAAATAAAAAATAAAAAAATAAATAAATAAAAAAAAAAAACTTAAAAAAAAAAAAAAAAAGAAACATTGATGAGAAACATCCATCAGCTGCCTCCTGCACACACACACCCCCACCCCCCACTGGGGAGGTGCCCGCAACCAAGGTACAAGCCCTTGACTGGAGTCGAACCTGGGACCCTTGAGTCCGGCAGACTGACGCTCCTTTCACTGAGCCAAACCGGTTAGGGCGAGGCCCCATTTCTTAATCTCTTCCTGTTCTTTTCTGGTAAAATGAGGCACCAGTATTTAACCTTATGCACTGCGAGGGGGTAGCGAGCCAATTCATTTCTTCAACAAGCCCCAGAGCCTGATCTCCTGGCAATGTTAACAGCTAAGGTCTGGAGCCCAGGCCTGCCCTGGGGAGAGAAGCATCCTCCTGGGGCACCACCCCCAGCCGCTCCTGCCTCCCTTCTGGGGCAGGAGAGGGTCAGCCGAGGCTGCCGTGGCCTCTTCCCTCTCGGGGAGACGGCCCAGGACGGGGTGGGGAACGGCCCTGCCCCGGCTGCAGGCACAGGAAGTCCAGCGCACAAAACCGTTGGCTGAGGCCTCTTTAAGGTTCCTCTCCCTCTGCCCTCCCCGCCTCGCATCTAGTTCAGGCTCTCCACACTAAGTCATTCAAGCCCGCGGCCGCCAGAAAAAAGAAGGCGCTGTTCGGGGGATGGCAGATGATCAAGAGCTCAGACAGCTGCGATGAAGGATTAGTTGTGGGTTTTTCTCGGGGCCTCGCTACACACTGGGTTGCAGCTCCATGTGCAAACACTATTAAAGGAGAATGTTTGCTCTGGCACCGGCCCACCTCCTCCCCACAGCTCCGGCATTGAATTTTTTATTTTATTTTATTTAAAAAAAAAAAAAAAAAAGAAAGAAAAAAAGAAAACTGAAGGCGCTTGGGTTTACGGCTCACATTTAAAACTTAAAAAAAAAAAAAAAAAAACAACACGTTATTCCCATCCGTGTTGGCAGAAACCGGCCCCTGTTTATCCCACCGGCAGTCATAATAAACCCTTTCCCCACTGACGACCTAACAAGCCATTTTCTATTTGCCACCGAGTTCACTTCAATACGGTGTTTGTGCTCTGAGCGCTCCCTTCGTCAGAACCGCTGAGAGCAACCTCCCCCAAGGCGGCCTTTGTGGTCCGCGGGCCCAGCGGTTCTACCGGGATGGACCCCAGAGGCGAGGACAGGTTCGTGGCAGGAGATAGAAAGCCTCAGGACGCGGGGAGATATGAGTATGTTGGATATGTTGATGTAGGAGACACTTCAGACAATTAGTCCCTTTTAAACCTTTGTGTCAACACACACACACACACACACACACACACACAAACCCTCAGCCATCCACTGCCCATGTCTGCACCGAAACAGGAGCCAGGGTGGGTCGCCTTAGGCCTGCCCAATGGGTGCCCCTGCCCGGGTTACCAGACCAGCAATGGGACTGGACAGATCCCCCACTCCAGCCCCTTGGGTGGTAGCCTCCCTGGGTGGACCAGCTTGAGGACACCCGACAGAGAACCATGTGGAGGGTCAGAGGGCAAGTGAGGTATCGTGGGCGAGTCTGGAAACTCACTCAGCTCACAAATGCGTTCGCTTTTTGGTTTTTGTCTTCAAAAGACAGAGCAGACCGATGCTGAACCCTTGAGGCTCCATCCAGGAATCCCCTAGGCTCACCTAAGAAACCCGTACAGGGGGGCGCCGGGCGGAGGTCACGGAGTGCAGCCGGTACACGGGGGTTTCGTGGCAGGCTTGGAGAACTCAGCTCACCGTTCTGTTCTTTGAAGATCGGTGTTGTTTCCCTTGGAGTTAAACAGTTTAATAATTCGGTCCTGCCGCCTTCAATCCAGGCGAGGTGCCGACGTTGCTGATCCTACTATCCCTGGGTTCCTTCCTCGGGGGACATTGCTAGGATGGGGGTGGAGGTGGTTTTCAATCCCCAGTGACAAGAGGCCCAAGTTCAGAGAGTGAATGAGGACACCACCATCACCATCACCACCACCACCACCACCACCACCGCTGCCACCACCCAACCCCGTGCAGAAAAACATCACCACACATAGCTCAGCCCAGACTCCGAGGCACAGGCAGAGGACCAAACGGGAGCTCTGCAGGCCCCAGAGGTGGAGTGGGTCACCACCCCCCCCAGCCCAGCCCTGGCCCTGTGGGGTCCCCGGGCTTCTCCTCACACACTGGGAAGGTCCATGGCAGCCAGGAGCCTCCGGGGAGTTAAACAGTTGCTGGGTGTACCCGCCCTTCCCCCCCATGACTCAGGAACCCTGGGGCTGGGTGTCCGCTCCCTGGGTCCCCCTCTACTTTGTAGTCCTGACCTATGCCTCTCCCCCACGGCCTCCAAGAAGGAAGTCTCTCTGGGGGAGGAGAGGGTGGGACAAGGGAAGAAAGGAGAAGCCCGCATCCCATGAGCTGGGGTGCAGCCATCCGTAATGCCAAGAACACGGACTCCTTTGGCTAAGCTGACCCCTGGGAGTCCAGACTCCGCTGGTGTCGGCACCTCCAGCCACAGCCACACCAGCGGGTTGCTGTCTTGAGTTGAGTAGCCTGGATCCTGACAGGAGGACTTCATGTAGGTAAAACAGGAAGTGCTCTCAGGAGAAGGGAAATGGGGACGGACAGCACCGCAGGAGAACTAGGGTACATCCCGGTCCCAGAGGCTGGGCCAGGGAGATGGGGGGAAAGGAAGCGGCAGAAGCAAAGATGTGTTTTCCACCACCAGTCAGTCACCCTTACACCGAAGCCCCCACACACGATGCCCCTTCATTCCTTCCCAGGCCGTTGTGGGGAAAGTCCTGCCTCCTGCCTCCATCCCCGGCGGGTCCCCACTAGACTAAGTGGGCTTATCGGAGGAGGGGATAGGGTTGAATTTAAAAAGCTCAGATTCCAGAACCCCACACTCTTCTGTTTTTCTCCGCCCTCAAAGGTGGCTCCTTCTTAGTCCTCCTGGTGGGATTCTCATTGCTCATGGGGATAAAATAAAATTTAAAAAAAGACTAAAATCTGGAAGAGCAGGAAGGTCAAAGTAGGTTTGCACAATTATCATCTTTTAGGAGTCTTTTTCTTATTTAAAAAATAGTATTGGTTTTTTCTGGGTGGGGGGGGGATTGGAAAGATTGGTGAGAAAGAAGATAGGTATGGATATGAAGAAGGCGGTGTGAATATGGGGAAGACAGGTGTGAAGATGGGGAGATAGGTGTGAACAACAGGGGAAGCAGGTGTGAACACAGGGGAAGCCGGTGTGAACACAGAGGAAGCCGGTGTGAAGACGGGGAGGCAGGGGTGGTCACGGGGAAGGTATGCTCACCCCTGGTTACATGTAGTGAGAGACAGAGCTTCCCTTTCACTTCACAGAGCAAAGAGATGGCTGTGAGGTATCAACCACGTGGGCAGTTGGGAAAAGGAAGACAAAGAATCTGTGTTTCCCGGACATCGGAGGGAAGTGTCCTTGTCTCCTGTTGACTATCTGGTCTCCTCCAGCTCCAAGAGGTCATCCACGAATTCCACCACCTCTCCCTGCAAGAGACAACAGGACGCCTACGCTGAGCAGGCTGCCTGGCTCTAAGGTGCGGGGAGCAGAGACTATTTCCAAGAGGCCGTTGCCCGACGCCTGCAAGGGCCATAGCAGCCCTCCCTCCGCCCCTGCCCTCGGGCCCAGGGGACCCGGCTTCTCCCTGGGAGGGGACCTGGCTCCCACTCCATGTGAACGTGGAGTCACATGCCCCCACAGATGACCTGTGCGAGGTGGGCAGGCCAGCCACCCTCCAAAAGACCCTGCTCGGCACCCCCCTTCTGGACCTCCTCTCCACCCCTCTCTCCCCCTCCCATTAGCTGTTACCCCACAGGAACACTTTCGACCTGTTCCTTGTCTTGCCTTGATCACCAGACCATGGGCTTTTTGGGACCAATACCTGGGCTACTTTTCTTCCTCTTAAAAAAAAAAAAAAAAAAAAATATATATATATATATATATATATATATATATATATATATATATATATATATTAAAATATATATATTAAAATATATATATATTTTTTTTCAACCTGTTAACCGGGGAGTACCCTCTTTATTTATGCAACGTATAACGGGCACATACTTTTTCACTAGGACACTCAGTACATCACGCCCGGTGGACGTAATTTCATATTATTATTTTTTTATTTATACTTGATTAAAATAAATGAAATATATATTTTTTCGTTTATTTATATATAAAGCACAAAGGAAAATACAAAATTACAAACAAATAGAAAAGAATACCAACAAAAAAATGGAAACATCGAATTAAAAAATTATAAATTTTACAAACAATTATAAAGATTACAAAAAATATATACTGTCCGTTTCAGGGCGCAACATATATTTCAAGGACGTATTCATATGTCCTCCTTGTTCCAGATATTGTTTACGTTTGACGTATTTATAAGTCCCACTCAGTTAACAGGATATATATATATATAGTTGATTTTTTACAGAGAGGAAGGGAGAGGGATAGAGAGTTAGAAACATCAATCAGCTGCCTCCTGCATACCCCCTACTGGGGATGTGCCCGCAATCAAGGTACATGCCCTTGACCAGAATCGAACCTGGGACCCTTCAGTCTGCAGGCCAACGCTCTATCCACTGAGCCCACTGGCCTCGGCTGGGTTACTTTTCTTAATGTTTCTTTATCAGTGACATGAGAGGGTTTTACTGAATTTTCATGACAAAAGCATCCAGCGAAGTAGGAACAGATGTGGGGCTTCCTCAACCTGACAGGGCGCGACGAGACCCCGTTTCCTGGGAACATAGTGGTGGATTTACTTCTCCCATATGGATGCCTTCTATTTATTTTCTTCGCTAACTGCCCTGGCTAGAGCCGCCACCACAATGTCAAGTAGAAGTGGAGAGAGTGGACAGACACCTGTCTTGCTCCCATTCTTGGAAGAAAAACAATGGTTCCGCATTTAGTATGTTGTTAGCTGTGGATTTTTTTGTTTTTGTTTTTGTTGTGTCCTCAGTCAGTGGAGGAAGTCCCCCTACTATTCCTACTTTGTTGGGTGTTTTTATCCCGAAGGTTCAGGGAAGCTCTCTCGTGACACAAGGGAGGGAACAACTTCAGAAAGCTAGAGCGACCTGCAGGATGACAATATCCATATTCCCAATCAACTGTCTCTCTATACACCAGCAATAAATAACGGAAAAATAAAAATAAGGACACAATGCCATTCAATTAGCACCAAGAATAACAAAATTTTCCTTGGCCAGGTAGCTCCGTGGCTTCATCCTGATACACCAAGGTTGTTGGTTCGATCCCCTGTCAGGGTGCATATAAGAATCAACCCATGGCCCTGGCTGGTTTGGGCTCAGTGATTATTAGAGCCTCGGCCCTCGGACTGAAGGGTCATGAGTTTGTTTCCGGTCAAGGGCATGTACCTCGGTTGCAGGCTCAATCCACAGACCCGGTCAGGAGGTAACCAAATGATGTGTTTCTCTCACATCAGTGTTTCTCCTCTCTCTCTTTCCCATACACCCTCCACTCCTTCCCTCCCTCTCACTATCAAAATAAAAATAATAAAAACATTAAAAAAGAAGAAGAAGAAAGGCTCATCAATTTCCCTTAAAGGAAAAAAGGATGGTTGGAGGCCCCGTGGTGGGTCCCGGAGCACCCGGCGTGCTGCAGCCTGGGTTCCTAGAGAGCCGCTGGGCCCATGGCAGCCCCGGCTCCCATCTACCGCCCACAGACACCGTGTCTCCAGGCCCCTTCTGTTCCTCATTTCAGGGAGGACTCGCCTTCCAGTGATGTTAGCGAAGATGTGAGTAATATTTTCTCTTCGCCAGACGTGTGCTAACCATGAAAACTTACCTCATCGTCATCCACGATATTTTCCTGAGCGAAGTCATACAGCTCTTTCTGGAGCGTCGTCACGTTGAAGAACTGAACTGCTTCCTGTTCGGACACAGACAGGGGACCGTTTAGTATTGGGACGGGGAGTGGGGGGAACAGGGCATGCATGGGGTTTCTCCTGGGGGCGATGGAAACACTTAAAATGAGGTAGTGGCCATGGTTGCACAATTCTGTGAATGTACTAAAACCAGACTGGTGCCCCTCCCAAGTTGAATTTTACTATATTTAAATTATATCTCATTTAAAAAAAAAAAAAAATAAGCCCTAGCTGGTTTGGCTCAGTGGATAGAGCGTTGGCCTGTGGACTGAAGATCCCAGATTCGATTCTGGCCAGGAGCACATGCCTGAGTTGTGGGCTTTATCCCCCAGTGGGGGATGTGCAGGAGGCAGCCAATCAATGGTTCTCTCTCATCACTGATGTTTCTATCTCTCTTCCCCTCTCCCTTCCTCTCTGAAATCAATAAAGATATATTAAAAAACAACAACAAACAAAAACACAGCAGCCAACCTCCCTTGAATGATTGTGTGAGTATGTGTATAGGTGTGAAGGAAGATATGGGACTGTGTGTGTATATGTATGAGAGAAAGAGAGAAAGAGAGAGAGAGAGAGAGAGAGAGACAGATTGTAGGTATGTGTATAGGAGTGAAGGAAAATGAATGTGTGTGTGTGTTTGTGTGTGAAGGAAGATGTATGAATGGCAAACCAGCACCGCATACAGAAATCCCAATGGAAGTACAAGTTAAGAACAAAGATCACTTAGAAAAGGCCTTTTGAATATAATATATAATATAACCCATGGAGTTCCCTAACACCATTTGAGGCTCAGTTTGTCCAGCATGGGGATTAAGTGACGATCTATTAGTAAAGGAGCCCACCACGAAGCCGCTAGAAATAATAACAAAGCAGGTGTACAGGTGTGACATGAAAAATGCTCATGAACTGCCAGGAAGACAAAGCAAGCTGCAAAACAGTATGTGAAGTGTGAGCCTGATTCTGTAAAAAAAAAAATTAATACAGGCTGCAGAGATGACTAAATGTGCAGCTATAAGGCAGGGGCTAAAGAGGAAGTACGGAGTGACAAGGGAATACTTTTACTTTCTGATCAAAATGTTTCTGCAATGGCTTGAAATCCGTAGAATTTTTACTGGTTTAAAAAATCAGAATACAGCCGAAACCGGTTTGGCTCAGTGGTAGAGCATCGGTCTGCGGACTGAAAGATCCCAGGTTCGATTCCGGTCAAGGGCATGTACATTGGTTGCGGGCACATCCCCGGTAGGGGGTGTGCAAGAGGCAGCTGGTCGATGTTTCTCTCTCATTGATGTTTCTAGCTCTCTATCTCTCTCCCTTCATCTCTGTAAAAAATAAATAAAATATATTTAAAAAAAAAAAAAAAAAAATCAGAATACAGCAGTAAAATGTTAGAGAGCAAAACACAGAAAATAAAACGAGTTTCGTTTCCTTTTCCAATAACCCCTTCTCTACAGGTGCAAAGCAGTCTCCTGAGACTAAAGAGGAGGAAAGGCCCTGACTGGTGGCTCAGTGGTTAGAGTGCTGTCCTGCGCACCGAAGGGTCTCGCGTTCAATTGCCAGTCAAGGGCACATACCTGGGTTGCAGGTTCGATCCCTAGCCTTGCCCATTGAGCCTGCAGGGAGGCAACCAACGGACGTGTGTCTCTTGCATGGGTGTTTCTCTCTCTCTCTCTCTAAAAATCAATGGAAAAAATATCCTCTGGTGAGGATTAACAACAGATAGATAGCCAAAACCGGTTTGGCTCAGGGGACAGAGCATCAGCCTGCGGACTAAAAGGTCCTGGGTTTGATTCCAGTCAAGGGCATGTACCTTGGTTGCGGGCACATCCCCAGTAGGGGGTGTGCAGGAGGCAGCTGGTTGATGTTTCTCTCTCAACGATGTTTCTAGCTCTCTATCCCTCTCCCTTCCTTTCTGTAAAAAATCAATAAAATATACTTAAAAAACTTCCACACAATTAGATACCCTGTTTCCCTGAAAATAAGACAGTGTCTAATATTAATTTTTGCTCCCAAAGATGCGCTAGGTCTTATTTTCAGGGGATGTCTTATTCTCCCATGAAGAAGAATACGGTACACATTTATTGTTAAATGAAAATAAAGGAAATGTATTACCTATATACAGTACGGTAGTACGGTAGTCATCAACATAAACCAGACAAACTGTGAATCCTACAGTATCAAGAACTGACTCATTTATTCAGTGACAATCATGTCATCACCTTCTGGAACATCATCATCACAATCCAATTCCTGAATTTCCTGGTGAATTTCTTGTGACTCCATTTCTTTCAGAATCAGTGGACCAAATCTCTTATGGTTAGCCTAGGCGGGGGGGCCTTATTTTCGGGGGAATGCCTTATATTTCACTCAGAAGGAAACCTGTAAGTAGGTCTTATTTTCTGAGGATGTCTTATTTTCGGGGAAACATGGTAGACAGACAGACCGAGAGATAAAGGAGGAAAGGAATGTGATGCCCAGTGCACTGGCACTTACTGGTCTGGGCTGGAAGTGCTCATCCGACAGGGCCCACTTGTCCCTGTGGTACTGGTAATACACCAGGTTCTGCTGCATGACCTTGTCGTTGGGGTCAAAGAGCAGGTAGCTGACTGCGCAGGGTGCTGCGTTCTTCAGGTCACTCACTGGGGTCGGGGAGGAAGAGGAACAGGACATCAATCGCTCTCACCTGCCACCCTTCCTTCACGTGCAGCTTCCTAAGGAAAAGCCCCTGCGGGCAGCCCCTCCTTCCGAAGGCCTGTGATCAACCAGAGTCACCCCTGGGTGGGCAGGTCACAGACCGGGTCTCCTAAGCAGCCTGGAGTTTTGAAACCTGGAAGTTCCTTGTCAGAAAGGAACCTTTGCAGAAATGCCTACTATCTTCCGCCTCAGGCTCTGATCTGAGCTGGTCTCACATCCCTGGGACCAGAGGAGCCTGGGGCCCACGGCCTAGAATGTCGTGGGGCTGAGGAGAGAGAGGGAGGGAGGATGGGCTTAGCCAATGAACCCCCCCATCGGGGTCCTCCAGTGCCTGGGCCCCATTTGGATGGAACCACAACCTCCAGATTCCGGTGGGCCCTCCTAGAGCTACACCAAACCTAGAAGGCCCTAATGGATGGTGGCCTCTCCAGGCTGGCATTAGATCTGAAAGGTCACATGGGCCCGGCCAGTGTGGTTCAGTGGATAAGCACTGACCTATGAACCAGGAGGTCATGGTTTGATGGGCACATAGGCAAATAGGGCACATGGCAAGAGGGAGCTGATCAATGATGCTCTCTCATCATTGATGCTTCTATCTCTCTCTCCCTCTCTCTTCTTCTCTGAAACCAATAAAAATATATATTAAAAAAAAAAAAAGTCACCTGGTCTTTTCATCTGCTGGAAGCAAGGTTCCCTCCAGCCTTAGTGGCCCCACCTTCGACAGCACTTTTATTAGCACAGGAGTTTAGGAGATTTGTCTTAGGGCTGGGGACGAGGAAGAAGGCACATTCCACCCCATTTACAACCCAGGAGCACTACCAGTACCTTTGCTAAAGCTCTCGGCATGAACAAACCGCGCCGCCTAGTGGCTGTTTCTGGTAACGACAACTTGAAAACCAGGCTTGTAGGAGCCACATCTTCCCAAGACCCAGAAAGGGGTCCAGTATAAGCAACAACACCAACACCCAAGAACCGAGTGCAGCAGGTAACATGATGTCCCCTGGACATGTTCTGGCTGGTACATTGCAGGCTAAGGGGAGGACCAACGGGAAGGACACTGTAACAGTCAGAAAAGTAAGGCCCATGTCGGGGAGGAAGGGGAGTTAACGGACCAAAAGAACAAACACGTTTATAAAGAGTTTGCTCTGGTCGAAACCGGTTTGGCTCAGTAGATAGAGCATCAGCCGGTGGACTGGAGGGTCCCGGGTTCGATTCCAGTCAAGGGCATGTACCTTGGTTGCAGGCACATCCCTGGTGGGGGGGAGGGGGGACAGGAGGCAACTGATGGATGTTTCTCTCTCATCGATGTTTCTAACTCTCTATCCTGCTCTCTTCCTCTCTTTAAAAAATCAATAAAATATATTAAAAAAAAAAAAAAAAAAGTTTGCTCTGTGTCAGTGTGTGAATGCCCTCAGCGTTCCGTGTCTAGCAACGGACTTAATCCTCACCACAGTCGTATGAGGCTAGGGCTATCATGTCTACTTTACAGACGAGAAAACAGAGACACAGAGAAGTGAGTGAGTGAGTGACAAGGCTGGAATTTGAACGCAGGCAGCCTGGTTCCAGGGTCTGTGGGCGGAATCATCACGCATGCTGCCTTTTTAGTGCGGAGCACACATTAGGGCTGATGATGGGACCTTGATGGGTTCTCCCAAAACCACAGGTAAGGGTCATGACCTCTCTTGTACGGAAGGGGAAGCTGAGTCTTTGAAGGATTGAGTCCCTTTTGCAAGATCTCCACAGAAGAGGGTGACTTACACTTATAATAGGCAAACTGCAAGTAATGATACATGGTCGCCACAAACTTGTCCACGGGGTAGCCTCCTATAACTGGGGTGAGGTTCTCTTCGCACTGGAGTTTGCATTCCAGAACTTCTACGTAATGATCTGAAAGAATAGACAAACGTTCTTTCTTTTTTTCCCCATTACTTTCTTAATGGTCCCTCTGCCCCACCTCCCAACCCCTAAAGGTAAAAATGACAAATAATGAAGGTATAATAACATATTTGCAACACTTATGATAAAGGACTCAAACCTTTAACATGTCCTGTTTCTCAAATGTTAATAAGAAAAAGACAAATAACCGATGTAAAAATGGTCAAAAAGATGTGGAGAAGAAATGATAAAAAAAAAAAAAGGCTAATAAACATTGTGAAAAGATGCTAAATCTCATAATTAAGAAATTTTCTTTTTTTTAAAATATATTTTATTGATTTTATACAGACAGGAAGGGAGAGAGATAGAGAGTTAGAAGCATCGATGAGAGAGAGTCATCGGTCAGCTGCCTCTTGCACACCTCCTACTGGGGATATACCCGCAACCAAAGTATATGCCCTTGACCGGAATCGAACCCGGGACCCTTCAGTCCCCAAGCCGATACTCTATCCATTGAGCCAAACCGGTCTTGGCAAGAAATTTTCTTTAGATAGAGCCATACATACGAATTGTTCAAAACAGCAAACAAACATGGAAATAATCTAAATGCCAATCAACAAGATGGTGATTAATAAATTATGGTACAGCCCTAGCCGGTTTGGCTCAGTGGATAGAGTGTCGGTCTGCGGATGGAAGGGTCCAGGTTTGATTCCAGTCTAGGTCATATACTTTGGTTGCGGGAACGTCCCCGGTGAGGGGTTTGCAGGAGGCAGCTGATCGATGTTTCTCTCTCATCGATGTTTCTAGCTCTCTATCCCTCTCCATTCTTCTCTGTAAAAAAATCAATAACAGCCGAAACCGGTTTGGCTCAGTGGATAGAGCGTCCACCTGCGGACTGAAAGGTCCCGGGTTCGATTCCGGACAAGGGCATGTACCTTGGTTGCGGGCACATCCCCAGTAGGGGGTGTGCAAGAGGCAGCTGATCAATGATTCTCTCTCATCGATGTTTCTAACTGTCTATCCCTCTCTCTTCCTCTCTGTAAAAAATCAATAAAATATATATTTAAAAAAAAATCAATAACATATATTTAAACAAATAATAAAAAAAAGAAAAGAAAAGAAAAAGGTATTCAGTGAAAAAAAAGAGATACCTGAGGGGGGGGAGGAGATTTAAAAAACCTTAGATTCAATAATTGCCAAACCACAGCCTTTACCCAATAAAGTGCACAGCGACTTTCCAAGAGGCAGGCAGTGCTCAGCTCTGTGCCAGACTTCGTGACTAGGGCACCTTCCTATGAGGTGCAGTCCTAGGCTCGTGTTCCCAAAGCCAACTTGGGAAATCTTCTTACGGCCACTTCCCATTTTCTGAGCGATGCTGCCCACTAGAGGTTCAAGAGAAACCCTCGGGAGATCGGAGCTAACCCTGCTGATGGTGTAAGTCTTCTCTCTTCGCTCTCTCCTGGGTTTTCTAAGCTTCCTATAATGAGCATGCTCTGCTTTATAATCAGACAATTAACTGCTTTCCAGAAGTTTTCTTGATGACAGCTACTTAGAGGCTCATCGGACGCTTCATCCTGCCTTTGTTTGTGCTGGAGAATTCCCGCTATGAGTGGGATCTCAGTAACGGGAGGCACGAGGCACCCACGGGCCCGCTTTTATGTTCCCAGGAGCCTGTGGGGAACCTGTCACTGGGCAGTGCTGATGCGGCTGACCTCCTCTGCAGGTCTGCGCTGGAGTGAGCTGTTAGACTCCCCATTTCTCCGGAAGCCCTGCCACGTCTGATCTGTGGAGGTGCCGGCCACACTCAGAAGCTCCTCCTCAGAGCCCCGGGCAGCCGGCCGCCCCATCCACAGCTGGGACTCAGCCACCAACCTGCTATGGAGAGATAGAAGTCCTTGAAGTCCTTGATCTCCCTGGCGCCCTCGCAGGCGGCCAGGCACTCGTAGAAGGCTTTGAAGAAGTCGGGGAGGGCCAGCTCCATGTCGGTGATGGACGTCCTCCAGTTCTCCCCGTTGTACGCCCGCACGGCTCGGATGAACAGGCTCTGGAAGGCAGGGGGAAGCTGGTGGAACTCCCCAGCGTGCGGGCGGAGGGCCCTGTCCTCCCGGGAAAATAAGGCCTCCGCAGAGCTCCATTCTCATTCACTCTGAAGACACCTCACTGGCCCTTCAGTAAACAGGAAGACAGTTGCCGAAACCGGTTTGGCTCCGTGGATAGAGCATCAGCCTTAGGACTGGAGGGTCCCAGGTTCGATTCTGGTCAAGGGCATGTGCCTTGGTTGCGGGCACATCCCCAGTAGTGGGGTGGGGGGCGGGCAAGAGGCAGCTGATCGATGATTCTCTCTCATTGATGTTTCTAATTCTCTATCCCTTTCTCTCTTCCTCTCTGTAAAAAATCAATAAAATATATTTTAAAAAAAACAAAACAGGAAGCCAGTTAATGACTTATTTCTGTCTAGCTTTTCCTACCCTGTGTACAATGGTACATATCTTTTTTTTTTTTTAATGTATTTTTATGGATTTCAGAGAGAGGAAGGGAGAGGGAGAGAAAAAAAAAAAAAATCAATGAGAGAGTCATTGATCAGCTGCCTCCTGCACCCCTCTACTGAGGACTGAGCCCACAACCTGGAATGTACCAGGAATCGAACCCTGACCTCCTGGTTCTTGGATCGATGCTCAGCCACTGAGCCATACTGGCCGGGCCAATGGTATGCTTCTTAATTCATTTAATTCAAAAGATTGCAAATGCTTAATAATAAAATCAAGTTCAAGTCGAGGATAAAGAGGAAACTATAGTGAAAGAAATCAGAGCAGCAGTCCTCAGGGGGTCAGGGTTTGGGGCAAAAGGGACATGAGACAACATGTTAGGGGAGATGAAAATATTCTGTCATGATTATGGTGGGAGTTACAGGACTGCATATATTTGTCCAAACTCAATGAATTGTACATTTAAAATCTGTAATTAAAACTTAAATACGTTATATCTCCAGAAAGCTGATCTTAAAAAATTGAATCCAGGCCGAAACCGGTTTGGCTCAATGGATAGAATGTCGGCCTGCGGACTGAAGGGTCCCGGGTTCGATTCCGGTCAAGGACATGTACCTTGGTTACAGGCACATCCCTGGTGGGGGGATGGGAGAGGATGCAGGAGGCAGTTGGTTGATGTTTCTCTCTCATTGATGTTTCTATCTCTCTATTCCCTCTCCCTTCCTCTCTGTAAAAAAATCAATAAAATGCCGAAACCGGTTTGGCTCAGTGGATAGAGCGTCAGCCTGCAGACAGAAAGGTCCCAGGTTCGATTCCGGTCAAGGGCATGTACCTTGGTTGCGGGCACATCCCCAATAGGGGATATGCAAGAGGCATCTGATAGATGTTTCTCTCTCATCGATGTTTCTAACTCTCTATCCCTCTCTCTTCCTCTCTGTGAAAATCAATAAAATATATATATTTTTTAAATCAACAAAATATATTTTTTAAAAATTGAATCCAGGAAGAGATATAAGCTTGAGAGCAGGTGCCAAACACCTGTCCCCTAACAGTGCAGTCACAAATAGGGAGGATGTACCAGCACCAGTTACTGGGAAGGGCAGCCCCCTGCCGGACAGAAGACACTTCATGGAATTTCTGCTCATGGCTGACCAGACCGGGTAAAAGAGAAATGACGAGGGCTGAGGAAGCAGTGTGGTCTCATGGGAAATAAATACAGATCCCGGATACACGCACAGACCTGCTCACCTGGAGGGGCCAGGACAGCCTCAGCATTCTCTCCTGGAAGAGTAAGGGGACCCCAGGAAAGAGACTTCACACACTGCGTGTGAGGGTCACCACTGCCGAGCTGGCAGGCTGGTCACACTGTGGGAAACCCTGTAGTCAGACCTTGGGCTCCCCTGGCTCCCCCTACATACTTCCAACATACCCCTGTGTCTTCAATCCTGCCCCGCCTTTCATTGCTATTCATGTCCCCAGTGCCTGAGTCCAACAGGCCCAGACAATGGTAAGAGGAGTTAGAGTCTTCCTCTTCTCATTGTCCTCATTAGTGCTCATCAGCATTCCTCTTTGCAGATGCATAGATCCAAGTAGCTTCTCACCCTGGCCGGTGTTGTTCAGTGGATAGAGCATCGGCCAGCGGACTGAAGTGTTCCAGGTTCGATTCCCGGTCAGGGCACATGCCCAGGTTGTGGGCTCGATCCCCAGTAGGGGGCGTGCAGGAGGCAGCTGATCCAAGATTCTCTCTCCTCATGGATGTTTCTCTCTCTCTCCCTCTCCCTTCCTCTCTGAGGTCAATAAAAAAAAAAAAAAAGTAGCTTTTCACCAGTCAAGTCTGTCCTCCTAGCCTCTCTATTCCCTTTCCACTTTAATCTATAATAATAAAAGCGTAATATGCTAATTAGACCGGACGTCCTTCTGGATGAGGCCAGCACTGCGAGGGAAGTCTGTGTCCCGAGTGCCACAGGGAAGCCGGTGCTGGCAGCTGGGGGAAGGAAGGCCTACTCTTGCACAAATTTTGTGCTTCGGGCCTCTAGTCCTTAGATGTCTACACTTGTCCAATGAGTACACTTCTTCAACAATTCACATTGCGACCGACCAGTGTGTAACACTCCAAATATACCTCATACGACTTGGTTTCCAAGTCTTTGATGTAGTCCTCGGCATCCGGCAAGCTCTTGTAATAAGCCATGTTCTTCTTCATCATTTCGTCATCAGGATGCTTCAGCAGGAAGGTGTGGGCAGCTGCGATAGCTTTTGGGAGGTTATTTGCCTAAAGAAGAAAGAAGAACGAAGAAAGCCACTCAGTGGATGGTGAGCAATGACTTAGCAAAACCAGAAGGTCTGTTGGATCTTCAGCAACTTAGTGTTTCTACACAACGTTCCCAGGTTAGGGTTCAGAGACTTCCATGGCCCATTAAGACTTGGTCCAGCCGAAAGCGGTTTGGCTCAGTGGATCGAGTGTCGGCCTGCAGACTGAGAGGTCCCAGGTTTGATTCTGGTCAAGGGCACGTATTGGTTGCGGCCAGTAGGGGGTGTGCAAGAGGCAGCTGATCGATGACTCTCTCATCGATGTTTCTGGCTATCTATCTCTCGCCCTTCCTCTCTGTACAAAATCAATAAAATATATTAAAATAAATAATAACCCAGCTTTTCTTTTATTTGGATTTTAGTGCTATTTTATTGCTCATGTGGCTGTTTCAGGGGAAATATGAAAAACAGATCTTGCAGGCCAAACACTCAAAGCAAAGTTAAACAAAACAACCAACTTCTACCCTCCAGAGTCTAGCAAATGTCATGCATCTAGCCGAAACCGGTTTGGCTCAGTGGATAGAACGTCGGTCTGTGGACTGAAAGGTCCCAGGTTCGATTCTGGTCAATGTACACTGGTTGCGGGCACGTTCCCGGTGGGAGGTATGCAAGAGGCAACTGGTCGATGTTTCTCTCTCATCGACGTTTCTAGTTCTCTATCCTTCTCCCTTCCTCTCTGTAAAAAATCAATAAAATATAAAAAGAAAAGAAATCCTAGATATCTTCATGTTCTCAAAAACAAACAAATAAACAAACAAAAACCAGCTTTAAAAAAAAATGTCATGCATCTAATGTTGCAGTCATTAAAATAAATGCAGTTATACTGTTTTTAAAATTGTTTCCAATTAGGTAAAGTAGAATCTGGGCTCTCTTGTCTTTGCAAAACTCAGTGAAGACCTGCAAAGCCAACGCCTCTTTATCCAGTAACAGGGATTTCAGCCCATTCTTAAAACGTGTGGGTCTCCAAGGATAGAAAACTGCAATTTGTGTGGCTATTTTTAGCCAGCAATCACAGACAGAATCAAAGCAGCCGCAAAAAGGAGAAAGACAGCCGAAACTGGTTTGGCTCAGTGGTGGAGCGTCGGTCTGCAGACTGAAAGGTCCCAGGTTCGATTCGGTCAGGGGCATGTACTTGGGTTTCGGGCACATCCCCAGTAGGGAGTGTGCAAGAGGCAGCTGGTCGATGTTTCCCTGTTATCGACGTTTCTAGCTCTCTATCTCTCTCCCTTCCTCTCTGTAAAAAATCAATAAAATATTTTTTTTAAAGGAGAAAGACAGCTGTGCTAAATTTAAATCTAGAAGACAGACAGCAGAGAGCACCAACCCGGATGAATCAGTGCTAGGTTCTGCTCCTCCAGGCAGGGATGTGTTATTCTCCCCTTTCCTGGCCTTGACTTCCTCCTCTTTTAAAGGGACTAGGCACTGAGGCCGGTTTGGCTCAGTGGATAGAGCATCGGCCTGTGGACTGAAGGGTCCCGGATTGGATTCCGGCCTGGGGCATGTACCTTGGTAGCGGGCACATCCCCAGTTGGGGGGGAGGGTGTGTGTGCAGGAGGCAGCTGATTGATGTTTCTCATTGATGTTTCTGACTCTCTATCCCTCTCCCTTCCTCTCTCTATAAAAAAAATCAATAAAATATATTTTAAAATAAATAAATAAAGGGACTAGGCAGCTCCTCAGGCCCTCTGTTAGGGAAAGGGACTTTAATGGTATATCCTGTCTTCCAAGAATGGGTAACAACGACGAGGCGACGCATTGCGCTAGATGTTCTGTGCACGTATTCTCTGCCTCAGAACAACCCTTCAGGAAAGGTATTTCCATCTCTGAGATGAATAAGGGCGGAGTGATCTGGAGGCGTCCTGGGCCAAGGCTGTGGGGCGTCTGAGAGCCGGGTGCAGCCAGGGTGGTGGAAGCTGGCACAGCACGAGGAGGGCGGGGCCTGCGCTGGGGGCGGGGCCTACGTCAGGGCGGAGCCTGCGCCGGGGGCGGGGAAGGGGCGGGGCCAGCAAGGGCAGACTTGCCTTGAAGTAGGCCCAGCACGAAGGGGGGCGGGGCCTGATCCTGGGGCGGAGCCTGTGCCTGGGCGGCCCCGGGGGCGGGGCCTGTGCCGGGGGCGGGGCCAGGCGCGGGGCGGACTTGCCTTGAAGTAGGCGAACTGCAGGAACTTGTAGGGCTCCCGGCGCTGGAACTCGGCCAGGACCTCGCGGCTGGGCTGCGACTGGCGGAAGGCCGGCAGGCCCTGCTTGCAGCGCTTGAGGCAGTGCGCCCGGCGCAGCAGGCCCCCGAAGAGGCGCAGCTCGGGGTAGCGGGCCAGGCCGGCGGCGGCGGCGGCGGCGGGCTCGGGCGCGGGCGCCGCGCTGCAGTTGCGGTGGCAGAAGGCCTCGCTGTCGCGCAGCAGGCGGTGCAGCCGCAGGCTGATCTCCAGGTAGCCCACGCTCTCGGCCCAGCGCTCGCCGCCGTACTGGTCCAGGGCGTGCCGGTAGGCCGACTCGAGCGGCATCAGCTCGTCCCGCGGGAAGCTGCGGAAGCTGTAGCGCTCGTACTGGGCGCGCCCGGGGCGCAGCGCGCAGCCCGCGCACAGCAGCAGCAGCAGCGCCCGGGCCGCGCCGCGTCCCGGCTCCATCATCGCGCCGCCGGGCGGAAGGAAGGGAGGAAGGAAGGAAGGACGGGAGCGAGGAGGGGAGGAAGGAGGACGGCGCGAGGCGGCGGGCGGGCGGAATGCCGCGAAGGCGGGGACGCCAGCCTCTGGCCCGCCCCGTCCGGCCGCCCCTCCCCACCCGGACCGAGGGGGTCCCTGCAGCCGCCCGGGTGGGGATGGATGGTGCCCCGGGAAGAACCCGCTGCCTCCAGGTGCCGACACTGTCCAACCGGTGCAGGGGCTCTGCTGTTCCCTGGTCGGGGGGTGGCGGTCTGTGAGCCAGATGCTGCCCTAATAAGATCTTAAACTTTTTTTTAAAAAAAAAAGATATTTTACAGAGAGCCAAAAACATCGACCAGCTGCCTCCTGCACACCCCCAATCGGGTATGTGCCCACAACCAAAGTACATGCCCTTGACCGGAATCGAACCTGGGACCCCTCAGTCCGCAGGCCAATACTCCATCCACTGAACCAATCCAGTTTCAGCTAGATCATAAACTTTATAATCACTTAGAGGACTTGTGAAAACGCAGATGCCTGGGCTGTACCCCCAGAGTTTCTGATTTAGCAAGTCTGAGGGTATGACTTAGAATTTTATTCTAATGATCTCATGAATTTTATTTTTAAATTACCGTTTGCATTCAATATAATTTTGTATTTGTTTCAGATGTGCAGTAGAGCAGTTAAACAATCATATACTTTACAAAATGTACCCCCATCCCATACTTAGTTATTTCTGTATGACTGACTATATTCCCTATGCTGAGATCCCTAGGACTATTTTGTAACTAACCAATTTGTACGTTACCCCTTCACCCATTTCACCCAGATGACTAGGCAGAACCCAGAGGATTTTTAAGCGGCGAAACTATTCTGTACAATCCTATAGTGGCAGATAAATCTTAGTATATACATTTGTCAAAATCCAGAGAATGTACAATGTCAAGAGTGAACCCTAGCCCTGACTGGTTTGGCTCAGTGGATATAGCCTCAGCCTACAGACTGAAGGGTCCTGGGTTCAATTCCAATCAAGGGCACATGCCTCGGTTGTGTGCTTGATCCCCCAGTAAGGGATGTGCAGGAGGCAGCTGATCAATGATTCTCTCATCATTGATGTTTCTATCTCTCTCTCCCTCTCTCTTCCTCTCTGAAATCAATAAACACATTAAAAAAAAAAAAAGTGAACCCTAATGTAAACTATGAACTTTGGGTGACTAGGATGTGTCAGTGTAGGTTAATCAGTTGTAACATGTATCACTGGGTATGGAATTCTGATTGTGGGGAAAGCTGTGTGTATGTGGTGGCACACAGGAAATCTCTGCTCACATGTTTTAAAAATGTTTATCTCTGCTCACATGTTTTAAAAATATGTTGCAGGGGGCACACAGGAAATCTCTGCTCACATGTTTTTTTTGTTGTTTGATAGAAATTATTTTTTTAAATATATTTTTATTGATATTTTACATAGAGGAAGGGAGAGAGATAGAGAGCTAGAAACGTCGATGAGAGAGAAACACCGACCAGCTGCCTACCAGGGATGTGCCCGCAACCAAGGTACATGCCCTTGACCGGATTCGAACCCGGGACCTTTCAGTCGGCAGGCCAACGCTCTATCCACTGAGCCAAACCGGTTTCGGCTCTGCTCACATGTTTTAAAAATATGTTTTTATTGATTTCAGAGAAGAAGGGAGAGAAAGAAACATCAGACAGGAGAGTCAATCCTGCAACCTGACCCGGAATTGAACCATGATCTCCTGGTTCATAAGAAGTCAATCACTGAGCCACACCAGCTGGGCTCTGCTCAATTTTGCTGCAAATAAAACTTACAATAGTCTGTTTTTAAAAAGAATACTAGCCATTATCTTTAAAAAGTTCCCTCAGTTGAGGTTTCTCTGATGTTTTCTCATGATTAGATTCAAATAAGTTCGTTTGGCCAGAAAACCACAGAAGCAGTTTTGCATCTCTCTCTGGTGTCACATGGGAGAAATGCAGGATCTGCCTCCTATCGGTGAGGTTAACATTGATTACTTTGGTAGGGTCATGGCTTCTCCACTTCATTACTTTTGTAATTAGTAAATGTTTTTGGTGCCTAGCAGCACTTTTCTTTTTCTTTTTTTCTTTTTTTTTTTAATATATTTTATTGATTTTTTACAGAGAGGGACAAAGAGTTAGAAACATCGATGAGAGAGAATTATCGACCAGCTGCCTCTTGCACACCCCGCTACTGGGGATGTGCCCGCAACCAAGGTACATGCCCTTGACCAGAATCGAACCTAGGACTTTCCAGTCCACAGGCTGACACTCTATCCACTGAGTCAAACCGGATTCGGCAGCACTTTTCTTAATAGCAGAAAGCAGAAATAACCTGTCCATAAACGGGGTTATTGTTGTTTTTATTTGTTTGCTTGGTTTTTATTTTTTTATTTTAGAGAGTGGAGGGAGGGAAAGAGAGAAACATCAGTTGGTTGCCTCCCTCACACGCCTTGGCTGGGGATCAAGCCTGAAACCTGGGTATGTGCGCTGACCGGGAATCGAACCTGTCACCTTTTGATGTATGGGACAATGCTCCAACCAAATCACTCCAGCCAGGGCTGGATTGTTGTTTTTAAATGAGAATATATGCACAGAGAATAATATATTACATCGGGGGGAAATTATAGAATTATAGCTACACATAACACAGTTCAATCTGAAAAAAATAGAAAATAACTTCATTTGTCTAAAGTTTTAAAAGTATGTCAGAGCACACAAAATATTATTTAGGAATGCAAATACTGTAGTCTTACCTCCTACAAGCACGCAGGATGATACCTCTGTGATGAAGAAGGAACCACACAGACACTTCGGATAGTGATTTCCTGTAGGGTGGAAGGAAGCGCATGGAATTGGGATAGTCACCTGGGGAAGAAGGAATGGGAGTGAGTATGAAGACACTCACTGTTTCATTTTCTGTGCCATACATGTATTTTCCCATACATGCATTTGTAAGATATTATCTTATACTTAATTGTTACTTTAAAACAATTTTTAGGGAAACAATTGCAGCAGTGCAATAAAAAAAAATAAAACGGAGTGGGATGGAGTGGAGAAAGGTTGCACGAAGGGGTGGTGTTTGAGCAGAAACCTGAATGGAGAGAAGGAGCATGCAGAGATGGCAGAATTTGGGGGAGAGTTTGCCTGGTTCCCGGTAGCCTCCAGCCCAGAGCATCCATGGCCGGCCGTCTTACTTGGAGCTCAATACCTGAATGTGTGGAGAACGTGAAAAAGGCAAACGCCCCCATTCAAAAACACACACACAAAGAGAAATGTCCAGTAACGCAACAACAACCTTGCAAAGATGTGGCTGAGAGACCTGGGTGATGGAAAGAAGGTAGGAGAGAATGTTTAAAACAAAGTCCTCACCGTGGCCACTGTGGTTCCGTTGGTTGGAGCAATGCCCAGTACAGCAAAAGGTTGTGGGTTCAGTTCCCAGTTAGGGCACGCACCTAGGTTGCTGGCTCACATTGATGTGTCTCTCCTTCCCTTCCTCTTTCTCTAAAAATCAATAAACATATTCTCAGGTGAAGGTTTTAGAAAAATTATTGAGAGAATAAACAAAAGCAAAGTCCTTGTTTTTTTGTTTTTTTTTCCCCTAAGACAAGCCTCACTTAGGATGTTTTATATTTTTACTTATACCTCAAAAACATACCTGTTTTTAGAAACTGAAAGGGAATTTTTAAAAAATATATTTTATTGATTTTTTACAGAGAGGAAGGGAGAGAGATAGCTAGAAACATCAATGAGAGAGAAACATCGACCAGCTGCCCGCAACTCAGGTACATGCCCTTGACTGGAATCGAACCTGGGACCTTTCAGTGCGCAGACCAATGCTCTACCACTGAGCCAAACCAGTTGCGACTGAAAGGGAATTTCTTGTCCTTAGGACACGGAAGATGCCCTTATCCCTATAAAAACATAGGGACAAGAACATCCTAGCACTCATGACTGTCATATGGCGTGCTACTAACTTTTATGGAAGCTATTAGGAAACTTAGCTGATTATTTCACAATTTTATCTTTTTATTCTTTCACAACCATAACCAATAAGTTGGTTGTACAGCTTAACTCCTAAACACGGGTCTCATGATTTCCTATGTCAGAAAACGTGAAGATGTGAGAAAGATTTGGAATTGCTGCACAGCCCAACTGTCCACTTCAGCAGGCCCAAGACTTTAGGGTTTTTTGTTGTGGTTTTTTTTTTTTTTTTTTAGCTTTAAAAAAATATTTTTAGTTTTTTTAAAAAATTTTCAGTCTCAGATTTTTATTGATTTGAGAGACAAGAAGGGATAGGTCACATGCCCAGGATTCCCAACATGCAAGAGGCAGCCCCTTGATGATGTTTTTCTCTCATCGATGTTTCTATCTCTCTATCCCTCTCCCTTCCTCTCTCTAAAGTCAATAAAAAATATTTTTAAAAATAGACCTTTTCATTATTAGATTTAACAAACTTTTGCTCCCTAGCCAGTTTTGCTCAGTGGCTAGAGCATCAGCCTGTGGACTGAAGGGTCCCAGGTTCCATTCCAGGTTGGGGCACATGCCCAGGATGCAGGCTCGGTCTCTCTGAAGTCAATAAAAATATATTAAAAAATAATAATAATATATATATATATATATATATATATATATATATATATATATACACACATATAACAGAGAACAAGCTTTTGCAAATTGCTACAAGTTTCTAAATATCTACTTTGAATTTCTGTTCCTATCGCTGTCCTTGGACCACGGCTGAAGTAGCACTGGTCTCTATTGGAGCATGTACTGTAATTGTGTCCCTGAGCATCTTTTTCATTGAAGATGAGTCCTTCCAGGGCGACAGCCTTCTCATGGTCGTTCCATGTCCCCCACAACCTGGAACAGAGGCTTTACATTGGCACACTATATATGCACACTTCATTTGGACAGGAACTGAAAATGTTTGAACAGAAAGAGGCATGGCCTTGTAAAAAAAGGCCATGACCATGTGACTTTCAAGACTCCATTACTTCCTGGCTCTGAGGCTACTGGCAAGTCATTTAACTCCACTGTGCCTCCGTTTTCTCATCTGTGAAATGTGGATAATAACATGCAACTTGGATCTTGAGGCAGAGTGACACACGGATGGTAAAGCAATCAACCCAACAATGGCCATTAGTGTTATTGCTACCGGTAGTTCAACTACAATACCAAGTCAAATACTAAAATCTCAGAAACAAACTGCAGTATGTAGTTAGTCGCTGGGCAGGCTTTTACTGTGAAGGGCCAGAGAGAAAATATTTTAGGTTTGGGGACCAAAGCTATTCCATTCTGCCACTAGAGTGCAAAAGCAGCCTACGTAGCTTGTAGAGAATGGGGAGACGCTGTGTTCTTACTCAACTTTATTCATAGACACGGACATTTCAGTCTCATTGTTTCCAAATGTCACAGAATATTATTCTGAAAATGTTTCCAACCATTTAAAAATGTAAAACTGATTCTTAACTGACAGCCCATACAAAAACAGGCACCAGGCCGGATTTGAGCTGCCAGCTTTAGTTTGTTTAGCACGACACACACACACCCCCCCCCCCCCCCCCCGTGCTAAACACTTCCTGCCTCAACTCAGTTAAAAATGCCTGCTGCGTATTGTCACCTGGGTCTACAGCCTGGGGGGTTAAGGGGGAGGTGGGAAATATTGATTCTGCTATTTGCTGAAGATTTTTTGAAATTTGACATTATTTTGCAATAATTCAGACTTAGGAAAAAAAATTGAAGAAACAATATAAAGAGAGAGGAAGGGAGAGGGAGCAAGGGATAGAAACATCAATGAGAGAGAATTACTGATTGGCTGCCTCCTGCATGCCCCCTAGTAAGGATCGAGCCCACAACCTGGGCATGTGCCTTGGCCATAAGTCCAACTGGAGACCTCTTGGTTCTTGGGTCAATGTTCAACCCATGTGGGCTAATGTTACATTTCTAAGACTATAACTCTTCCTTAAGGGGCACAGTTGACAGATCTGCCTACATCAGCATCACAGGGCTGTTGAGAAACGAAATGAAAAGGTGGGAGGTGTTACTCTCATCTCAAAACCCCACAATGAAATACAAATTCTGCAGATCCTGGCATTTGCAATGATTTCACCATAGCTGAACCATATCTCTACATTAAAATGGCTCTCAGACTTCAGCATGCACCAAAAAAACCTGCAGGGTTTGTAAAAAAAATATATAGATTTTTGGATTTCATCCTTAGAGAGTGTCTGATTGAAAGTTCCTGGGGGTGGGGCCCTGGGACTTGCATTTTTAACCAGTTCCAGGTATCCAGTGGGTCCAGGCACTACCATTTTCTGACCCTTAGTTATTAGAGTTTTCCCGAGAATCCTAGGGCTGGGATTCTGTCTGGAGCACTCCGAGGGCGGGGCGAGGGTCCTATCCCGTGCACTCAGGTTTATCTGGTCTCAACTTCCCCCTTCTGTCCTCCGAGGCAGGATGGAGGTGGGGGGGAACCAAAGGGCAAGGAGACCCTGGTTAAAGTCCAACCCCACTGAGCGGGTTATCTAGCTGCTGACAAGCAGGGCCTCCAGATTGCCTTTGCAAAGGATCTGAGGCCGGCCAGGGCCAGATAACATTCTCCCGGTGTCACCGGCTGCACGTGGCCTCTGGGCTGGCTCCCCGCCCCCGGGTCAGCTGCTGTCGGGCGGAGCTCGGGGCGGGGACAGCGGGCAGGACCGGAGGGCGGGGCGGGGCCTGGCCGTGGGTCCTCGGTCTAGGCTGGCCCCGGCGCTGACTGTGCCGAGCGGAGAAGCCGGAGGGAGGAGGACATGCTGGGGGCCCATCGCATCCTGTCGCTGTGGCTCGTGTCGCTGCTGCCAGGGACGGCGCGCGGCTTCCGTGTGAGTCCACGGGCTCCCCGCGCGGGGATGCATGGATCAGGGGGACCTGCTGGCGACGGACTGGGCTGGGGCTACGGCCAAGAGGGGGAGCTGGGGGGCGGCGGGCCTGGGATCTCGGGGTGCACCCCGCTGGCCGGCAGCTTGCAGAGCGCAGGCAGCAGCCTGGCCTCCTGTCCGGGGCGGGTCGGACGGGCCGGGCGGGGCGCGCGTCCTTCCCGGTAGCCGGTCGGTCGCTTGTGTATTCCGCTCCGGACGCCCGGTGGTTTCGCTGGGACCCAGGTCCCCAAAGGTGCCCCGAGGTGGGGGTTGGGGGTGGGATGAGGAAACACCCTTGCAGTTTCGCCTTCAGGAGGGGGGATTCCGAACCAGCGCGCGTTAGAGGAGGAAGTCTGGGGCTCTGGCTTGGGGCGCCCTCCCTGGCGCTCCGGAAGGAGAAAATGGGGTGCCCTCCCGCCATGGGAATTTTGGGTTCATTGCTTTCGAGACGTCCTCTATCCAAACACCCCGTGCCCTTCTTGCCACTCCCCGCCGCCGCCGCCTCTTTTTTGACTTGGATTTTTCAAACCTTCAGGGTCTCCAAGGGCGGGCTGGAGGCGGGAGGCAGGTGGCAGCCAGGGCTGCTGCAGGGAGGTCTGCAGGAGCGGGGAGGCGAGGGGGACCCGCCTGGTGGGAGAAGAACTGCAGGGAATTGAAACCGCACCAGCTCTGCTTCCTCCAGAGTCTGGGTGGGCCGAGTCCCGGGCTCTGCGTGCAGTAGAAGTGGTGAAATTCGGGTCCATGGGCTTGTAAATCATCCCTTGCGATCAAAGACTTAGAGTAACTTGCCTAGAGCAAAGTCAATCTTAAGTATTTGGAAACGCCTACGGAACATATTTTAATTTCGAGTCACCTCCTATGTGGTATTCGCTGCCCTGTCTGCTGGGGTCTGTGGCTCCTGTGCCCCAGTTTTTGCTTTTATTTTTTTTTGCCAGGAGGCCTGGGGGAGACCCCCGGGTGGGAGCTAGCCCGCGGTGAGAGCCACAGGAGGAGCAGCAGAGATGAGTGTGTGCGGGAAGACAGACCTTTATAGTTGGGTGGGCTGCGGGAGGGAGAGAGGTGGGTCTGGGGGTGAGGAGCTGGTGGGCAGGGCAGCCCCCCGAGCCATGGTTGCTCCTCTTAGTGCAGCATCAGTCAGCAGCGGGTGCCCTCCGACTGCCATGCCAAGGCCCGCATTTGGGAGGCTGGCCTCCCTCCAGGGATTCTTCCCGTCTAAGTGTCCCTCGCTGGGCCTGGGGCTGAAGAAAGCTAAAAGCTTTCCGTGATTCACTTGTTTACATTTACCTTTAAAAAGTTTTTTTAAAATTGATTTCAGAGAGGAAGAGGGAGAGGTAAAGAGAAACATCAAAAAAGGAAGAGAATTATTATTGGCTACCTTCTGCAACGCCCCCTGCTGGGGGGGGGGTGTGTGTGGATAGAGCCCGCAACCCGGGCATGTGCCCTTAGCAGGAATCGAACCTGGGACCCTTGAGTCCGCAGGCTGATGCTCTATCCACTGAGCCAAACCAGCTAGGTCCTTTGTTTACGTTTGTTTAGAACAGCAGTTCTCAAACTTTTAACTGTCCTAGAAATTAAAATTAAAAATATCTACTAAATCTATGACATGTTCAGAAACCTACGTTTTTTTGGGGGGAACATAACAATGTTTCCCCCCAAAATTTAAGGTGAAGAGTGGTATTAGTTTTCACTTTTGCAGATCTCTTTGCTGTCGTCTTAATTGAGGACGGTCAGAGCCTCATAACGTGCTCCTGTACTCAGTGTGCCATAGCCTCTGGCCATGAGAGAATGAGAACGGGAAGGGCCTAGGCTCATTAGGAAAACAACTTCAACTAAACGGCCCCCCGGAGGGTCTGGCGGGCCGCGCTCTGAGACCCGCTGACTTAGAATAACGTTTCTCTTGTTGTAAGAGGAAATCCCACACGCCTTGTGGGGAAACGATAGCCGTTCAGAAAGCCGGAGAGAAGAAAGTGGACACTGCCCGTCCGCGTCACAGTCCGTGGTGTCGGTGCTGCCGTGATACAGCGCAGCCACGGACTGGCGGTGTGGATTCTAGGCAGGCTGTGGGCCCTTGGAGGCGGCCTCCAGGTTCTGAATGGGGACAAGAAGGCTCTAACTAACATCCCACAAGGCTGACGCGGGTTCCTGGTTGCAGGCGGACCCGACCTGACCTGGCACCCTGTCCCTGGCCACTGTCCTTCCTAAGGAACTCGCCCGCCAGAGCTCACCGGCGCGGACCTGCCAGGGGACCCTCTCAGGAGCCGAGACCATGGCCATCTTCAGGCAGCTCTCGCTGGGCGGGAAGGCCGCCCTGGCCGCCGGCACCGTCTTCGTGTCCATGATCATCTCCCGCTCCTACCTGGCCGGGAGCCTCGAGGTGCGGGCCTGGCGCTGGCTGTTCCGCCTGCAGCTTGCCCTGTTTGCCAACTCGCTCATGCTCATCGGCTCCCTCTACATCTGGCGCAGCACCGTGGGCAACCTGGGCCACGCGGCGGCCTCGCCGTCGGCCTGTTCTCGCCTCTGGAAGGCGGCGGTCGTGGCCTTCCTGGCCCTGGCCCACTCCAGCTTCTTCACCTCGCTCTTCCTGGTGGCCGAGGAGCCCTACCTCTTCTCCCTGGCCGCCTACGCCTGCCTCGGGGCCTACATCCTCATGCTCTTCTTCCTCTGCACCCTCAGTGGCGCGGAGCAGGCCTGCCAGCTCCTGGCCTGGCGCAGCGGCCGGCCGGTGGGCAGCCCGGACAAGGCGAGGAGGCTGGCGCTGCGGCCGGCCCTGGCGGTGGCGGTGACCGCTGTGCTGAGCCTCGCGGGGCTGCTGAACGCCGCCCAGCCGCCCGCGGTGAGGACGGTGGCGGTGCCCATCCAGGGGCTGCCCGCCTCCATGGACCGCCTCAAGATCGCGCTCCTCTCGGACATCCACCTGGGCCCCACCGTGGGCCGGGCCAAGCTGGAGACATTCGTGGGGATGGTGAACGCGCTGGAGCCCGACGTCACGGTGATCGTGGGGGACCTCTGCGACGCGGAGGCCGCCGCCCTGCGGACGGCCGTGGCCCCGCTGGGCCGGCTCCGCTCCCGCCTGGGCACCTACTTCGTCACCGGGAACCACGAGTACTACACGTCGGACGTCGGCAACTGGTTCGCGCTGCTGGAGTCCCTGGGGGTGAGGCCCCTGCACAACGAGAACGTGAGGATCTCCGCCCCCCACGCCCGGCCCGGGGGCGGCGAGGAGGAGGAGGAGGAGGAGGAGGAGGAGGAGGACGACGCCTGGATCTGCTTGGCCGGCGTGGATGACATCGAGGCGGACATCCTGCACTACGCCGGCCACGGGATGGACCTGGAGAAGGCGCTGGGGGGCTGCCGCCCGGACCATGCCACCATCCTGCTGGCCCACCAGCCCCTGGCGGCCAAGAGAGCCCTCCAGGCCCGGCCGGATATCGACCTGATCCTCTCCGGGCACACCCACGCCGGGCAGATCTTCCCCTTGAACGTGGCGGCCTACCTCCTGAACCCCTTCTTCGCCGGCCTCTACCAGGTGGCCCAGACCACCTATGTGTACGTCAGCCCGGGCACGGCCTACTACGGGATCCCCATGAGACTGGGGAGCCGGGCGGAGATCACAGAGCTCATCCTGCAGCAGCGGCGGGCTCCCTGAACCCAGCCCTGCCCTGCCCCTCTGCCCTGGCCCTCCTCGTCCTCTCTCCCTCTGCTGCGGGGCGGGCTGCCTGCTTTCTCTTCCCTCCCCCCCACCACCCCGCCAGCCTTTCCTGCCCGGCCCTGCGGACACACCCTGGCCACCGCCTGGTTTGAATTGTGATTTGTGGTGGGGCCGCCGGGCAGGTTAGCTCTGTAGACGGCCAGCTGCTTTCTTCTACGCATTTGTGAGGTCACCAGTCACGTGCGTAAGAACGGGCACCTGTTGTCCAGACGATGCGGTGTGAGTCCCCCCCCCACTCTTTGCAGAGCTCCCAGGAATAAACCACATTAAAGGAACACGGGGTGGTTTGCAAGGGATGCCTCCTAGAAAGCAGAGTGGGGAGGGAACTCTGAGTGCCTTTCAAACCCTCCTAGGACTTGGGCAGAATCATGGATGCAGAGCCTTCTGTGTGAGGGGCGTGTTGTTAGCCATCTGGGAGAGCCGGTGGGGTGGAGGAGGAGAACTTATTTCCCCGCTTTGGTTCTCTCAGAGTCCCCTCTATGGAGAGAACTGGCAGAACCTGCAGGAGTGCAGAGCTCATCTTATTCCAGGCCTTGAGGGATGCTGTTCCTGTCGGTGCTCCTGGGCCTCGGGGATGGTGGGGATAGTGGGCGTGGGGGTGGGAGGGAAGACGCAGAGCGCCCCGGTAGGTGAGGGCAATAGCGCTGCATGGGGACTCTGAGGGTGTTTGCCTCCTTTTATACAATCGGGTGAGGTAGCGAGGCACTGGGCAAAGGGCACTGGCAACCTGACAGGGAGATTCTTGTCACTCTCTGGTGGCTCAGGATTTCGTCAGTCACCAGAAGTCAGAGAACGAGGACCTGGAACCTGATGTTCCTTCAAAGTGGTTTGCTCGAGGCTAATTTCACTTCCCGTGTGTAACTACGTGGAATAGTTTCAGTTGGGTGTAGGATGTCTTTCTGTGTTAGAGGAATAGCCAGGACACTGGAGTCCCACCCCAGGCTGGGGTCTTTTTGTGTGTGTAGGAAACAGGCTCTCTCTCCAGGGGGGAAGTTGCATGGGGAGTGGCAGGCCCCTGTGCTCCAACAGGGCCTTGAGGCCTTGCCTCGTGCTGGGCCCTGGCTGTGGAGTGCTGAGACCCTCCTTCCTATACCGGACGGCTTCCAGTTCCCTGGCCTGACCCAGTAGAACTGTCCCAGGACTGGTGCAGACCCATAGGGCCACCTCTGCTGGCCACCGGACCCATAGGAAAACAACCAGCAGTTACTGGGACTGGCCCTTGTGCCAGAACCAAGAGACCCTGGGCCCCTGGGGC